TATTTTGATGCAGTTGTTAGCAGAGTAATTAATGCATTTACAGGATAAATTGGGTTCACAATAATAACAGACAAAGAATAGAAAAATAAGAGGAATATTCAAGTTAATAGGAAGTTTTAAGTTTTGACACTTTCTTTAACAATAGCAGTTAATATTATGTAAGTAAGAGAATGATTAAAATAACATCAAAATACAGGAGGATTTAACAAACTTATTGAGGCAACTTTAAAGTCCTTATTAATGGAAATTCTCATTCCTTTAACTGCAGTTTATGTCCAGTGTAATTTTCTCTTTACCACATGTCATTAACTATTGACTCATTGAGGCAACTTGTCATAGAGGGTTTTAGGAGATGGAGACTGAGGCTCAGTGTAGGAGAGTACCCCTACCTTGGGCCTCAGCCCTTGCCTAACAAATTTTGTATAGTCTTTAATTCTCCCCCTCCTTTTCTATCTCTTCTCCATCCCCTTCTGTCCACTTCCTAAGGTGAATGCTGAAAGGATGAAAGGCTGGCTTTGTGTCTGTCATGAATGGCTTCTGGGAGCCATAGGCATGGTATTTGCTTGGTTAATCACCTAGCCCTTACCCCTTATGGGAACCCAAAGGGGTAGACCGTTTATTTTCCCCACTGATTACAGAGTCACCATGGCCAATAATGATGATGTTTCAACCCCTGTCTCTCCTTTGACCACAGCTCAACCACTGATGCTAATACTTCCTCTTCGATGTTTACTAACAGCCCTATACATTCCGAACCACTCACCCAGGTCACTACTCAACCTTCAGAAAACACACCTTCCTCTCTCCCAACATTCTCCACTCCATCTAGTGCAGTCCTCTTCATTGTCTCTCCACTCTGACTGACCTCATTGGCATGCCTATTCCTACCGAACCACACTTCTCTTTTAATACTTGTCTTGGAACTGTTTCTGTCTTCCTGACTGATTGTCCTATCTATGACAAAAACTGGTCAGACTGAAAGTGACCACCTTGCCTGCCTTACTGACTAAGATGCAGTGGCAATACAGCACTACACTATTCCTCCCAGAGGACAGCATAAGTCTTACACCAATATTGCCAAGATAGGCTTCCATAGACATGATCTCCCCCTTGAAGTTTATTTGGTGGGGTGTCTTGCCCTGACCAAACATATCGACCTATTCCTCATGTATGTCAGAAATTTTTGCATTTTGGCCACCCAGCAACACACTGTTACTCCACAGCCTGCTGCCCTCTGTGTGCCCAACCTGGTCATAATCATTCAAATTGCCTTGCTCAGTCGCATGTGTGCCAATTGTGGTGGCTCTCATAATGTATTTTGTAGAAAGTGCCCTGCCAGACAGGAAGTATGATGAGGGTTTACTTTCTTTACCTATTCCAAAACTGTCCTTTGCTCTGCTCCCCTCCCATCTTCTTAAGATGTCCCAGCATCTTTTCCCTTTACCCTGAACCAACCTACCTCTACTCCCCTTTCCCCAGGTCAAATTCATTTCTCAGTCTTAATCCACTCTCTGCCACTTCTCACTTTACCTGTCACACCAGACAACCTAAACTTTCATCTTTCATGATGCCCAGGGTACATCACTGCTCTGTGCATGAGTGCATGCATTTGCATGTATCAGTGCAACTGATCTTTAATAATAGTTAATATTTTTAAGATAAAAACACTAAAACAGTTGCTAATTCAAGGTAGTTATTGAATTTTATGGAAAAGTAGATCCTATTTCTATTCTCCTGCACATGGTTTTCTAACAGATAATTCGCCTAACAAGCAATACATCAACACATTTATTCAACTGATTAAATCTTATATCTGTAAGGCTAACTCCTAAGACCCTGTTGTATAGCGCTTGAGTTCAAAGGCTATGTTGAAGGCCTATGGAGTTCCTATATAATGTGGAATACAGTTCGCAGAGGTAGAGTGGTTGAGAGCCGTTGGGCGACAACATACATACTAAAAAGTAAATGACACAAGAGGCAGTTATATATATATATTTTTTATATATCAATGTTTATCTGGGTAATGAGAACCTTTATCCATACACAATTTATTGTACATAAAATATATAATAATTTCACGTATGTCACTAGCAGAAATAGTAGAAATATCTGGTAGTAATAATATTAATAATGACAGTGATCTTAGAAACAACAATAGCTATAAAAATAATATACAATTAATAATCATAATTTGATATGATGATAATAATAATAATAATAATAATAATAATAATAATAATAATAATAATAATAATAATAATAATAATAATAATAATAATAATAATAATAATATGCTAATGTTAACACTGACACTGAAAAACAATGACAAAAATGGGAAGGGTAATTAAAATAACAATAAAAATGACATAAAATCTGAATAAGAAAAGTTAATAATGATCACAATAATAATGTAAAGAAATGAAGATCATACTGATAATATACCAATATTAGGACTACAAAAACATGTCATCATCATCAATATCATCAATACAATATTCTATATTACCATAATAAAAACTATCAAAACCAAACAAAATCATGCACTGTAAAAATCAAAATAACAAAATGATAATAACAACAAAATTATTCACTTCAGACCTTGGCAAAACCATCCTAAATGGAAATCATGGGAGATTCCCTTGCATAAAACATCATCAGAGAAATATCACAGTAACATCAAACTTTATTCTTTGCCTATAATCCACTGTATGTTGTAATATCACATGTGGCATGATCTTTGTATGGCTGTTACGTGCTTTGTGATAATACTTATTATGCTGATAAGTGTTGTGGGGTTGGGCTTTCCTAAACGGACAACTTGTGACAACTGTACAAGATGGTATGAATGGGAATGAGTGATTCCACAAAATGAATACATTATATACATGTACTTCATATTCTGATATTACATCTTCCAGCTATATCAGATTGTGTTGAAATATGACTTTCCTATTTCTCTTGTACAATTCCTTCTCATTCATACTTTCTACACAGGTTTTACTGATTCACATTACTCTAAAAATGAATGCTTATACATTTGGTCAAACCAGATACTATTCTGACAGAAAGAGAAATAAGCAGAGATGCCTTGCTTGAGGTGAGCTGCAACAGGACCATAATATGATATGTATAAAAACAAAAATAAAATGACTGCCCTGTAAGCAAGAGCTGTTGACTGAAGAGCCACAGTTGCTACCCAACAGTAGTATCAAAATGAAATGAACAGTAAATTCATACCTCATTCTAATGGACAAAATTTTATACCACTTTCAAATTCACCCTTTTCCACTTTTCTACTCTTCTTTGACAACTTAATTATAGAAAAACGATGGATGCTAAACCACTTAAAACACATGAAAATGTAAAAAAGGAAGAAAGTAACAAAGAAAGAAAAGAAAAGAAAGAAAAAAAAAGGAAAAATCAAGGCTCATTAAGCTACATGGTAACACGGATGTAACCAGTGACTTCCCCATCAACTAGCTGTCAGCTTGCAAGCAGCAGCTCAAGCCAATGTTGCCACAACTCCACCTGCAGCACCGAATTAACTGCACCAGATTTTGCCTGTTACTTCCGATAGCCGTTAGAAAGAGGCCTATTAAAGCAGGGTATGAGTGTACTGTAAAAGTATGTAAGCAAATAAAGTTTTGGAAAATACCATCCCACACAAGATTCAGAACCATTTCATTTATTGGAGAGGGAGGGAGGGAGAGAGGGAGGGAGGGAGGGTGACAGAGAGGGGGGGAAGGTGAGAGAGAGGAAAGGAGAGGAGAGAGGGAGGAGGGAGGGAGGGAGGGAGGGAGGGAGGGAGAGAGAGAAGAAAAAATATCAAGTGTGGTATAATATCACAGATCTTTAATTCAGAAAGCAGAGAAAGAGATGATGATGATGAAAAAGTTGTTTTCCTTCAGGTAAGCCATTTACAATGCTTTAGATAAACGAAGCAAGGTCAGATACTTGCTGAGTTAAATGTCACTATTCAAATTATATCATAGTATGAAAAGAACCTTATTCGAGCTATAAGAAAAATACTTATAAGTGTCATACTACGGTGCCCTAATATCCCTCCACTGGTTAAATACTGTTATACAATGGTCTTTCCATATATACCTATATATACACAACCATGCGCTGGATTCCTGTCACTACTTAAACCCTAATCCCACACATCTTAAATTACTTTCACCAGCACCATCTTTTGAGCTTCAATATTTAGACGCGAGTACCACCAAACCAACCTCAAGGGCGCTTAAATGCCTCTTAAATGTGCTTCAGGAACTCTTTAAACCTTTATATCCAAGGAGACTAGTGCATTAGCAACCATATACGGTCTCTTTGTACGTAAAGGGTTAATAACCTGACTACTTAATTAAATGGTTAATTAAAAGGAAGAGTTGATATGTGCATTACATAGACATATATGAATAATGCTCCTGCTCTGGTGTTCTGCATGAAATCTAAACCTTCTCATCTGCAAAAGATTTCATAACAATAGTACGACAAGAGATTAAAATATAAACTGTAGAATAATATCCATTATGATAATATTTTGAAAATGTTGGTTGACAGTGGCCTTCTGTTGCAGTCTATGTCTAAAAGATAATCTACAATTTTTCCAATATACTCTTTATTAATGTAAGCACTTGAAGGCTCACCAAGAGATTGATTTAATGATAAAAAAAGCCAATTCTTTTCGAAGTCTTAAGTACTAACAATAATTCACCATATTTAAGCTACTGATTATAAGTAGCATTAATAATTCACTGAAAAAATGGATATAATCTTAAGGCAGTATTTACAAATGTACACACACACACAAATACACATGCATGCATATTCACACAAAATAAATAGATAAATAAATAAAATCTTTTCCTTTCCTTCTGTTAATATCAGAAAGGAAATCGGCTTAGCCTCCATGTAGATGGGGAGGTATTTGTCACTTAGATTCAGTTAAAATGCCAAACTAATTATGACGTAAAATTATGTAACCTCAAGCAAATCAAATTTGGCTCTCGGCACAGCATATATAATTTGCCTTCTCATTCATATTCTTAACCATACAGGTACATGCACATGCACACGCACACACACATACACACAAAAGTTAAATGTCAATTTGCATTTTACTTTTTTTTTCTTTCCTTCTTTTTAAATGTTGAGATCCATTTCAACTGGAGAGGAAAAATGGGAAACTATATCTTCAGTGACCAGTGAAAGAGATGACAAAAGTTACATTCTTTTGCAAACATCAAATAAAAAGATTAAAAAATCAACAAAACATACAGGTACAACAGTTTCAGAACAGAAAAGGAAAAAAAAAAAATCTGTCAACACTAGCATTCACCATATAGCATCCATACACAAGTAATCATATGAATACACATATACATATAGGGTAGAATATGTTCAGGAGCCATAATATACAAAGATACTCCAACGGAAGCTAAAAATGAAGTTCTGTATTTATGCATCGGAAGTTTGTTTTCAACATAACAAACATTTCTCTATATTCAAAAATAAAGAAGAAAAAAATATATGAGTATTGCATATACAATTACCAGCTAAGTTTATTGTTAAAAATTATTTCTTGCCTAATATTGCACAATTTAGTATATACATATGGAGCAAGTGGAGGAAGAGGAAGAGGAAGAAGGAATGGGAAGGATAAAACAAAGAAACTGAGGAAGAAGAAGACAGAGGAGGAGGAGGAAGAGGAGAGGAAGGTACAAAGGAATTAGAAGGGGAAGGAAAAGACAAAAAAATAGAGGAAGGAGGGGATAGGGGAAGAGGAAGAGAAGGAGGAAGAGAGGAAGGTAAGAAGGAATGGGAAGGGGAAGGAAAATACAAAGAAACAAAGGAAGGAGGGGACAAGAAGGAAGAAAAAGGGGGGATATCACTTACTAATAACTACAGCTATCAAAAATATTGTGCTTTTCATTCTCAATCGTGTTGATGATTAAGGATACAGATATTGAAATGAATTCTCAAGCTCAGGATTATTTCCTCATTTAGACTGAAGTGGTGAATATACATGTCTTTATCAGAGTAATGGGCTTGTGACTGAATGATTTTCACATTTTTACCATTTTACTTCACATATTTACAATGGGAATCATTAAGGAGTCCCATTACAAACTGGAAACTAAATAATAATTATGGAAAAAAAGTGCATGTGAGTTTCTTTCACTTTCTTATAAATAGAAGTCATATCTTATTTGAAAGCATCTATCACTTTACAGAGATATATCTGTCAATATATGCCACAGTTAAAATCCGTCCCTAATGTTGTATGAAAAGTGGTTATTTCTTTGCCCACTTGACGGTCAGTGGCGATGTGTCTTGATCACCATCATTTTCCGAGGCATGCCTCTTTCTGTGCTTCCTTCTGTGGGAATTACTGCTGACTCCTGCTGTTTCCATGCTGCTCTGTGATGGCAGCGCAGGGTTCTCTGAAGCCTGGGATGTGGAAGCAAGGGAGTCCCCTTCAAGGCTCTTTGAACCCGAGGCCCCTGAACTGAGGCAAGATACTTGGCTGGTTGAAGGAATGGTAGATGTAGTGGACTGTAGACTGGCTGAGCCTGTGTGTGGAGAATGGCCCATTGTGAAGGCCAGCCCCCCGGAGGAGTACCCGGCCAACTGTGGCGGATTCAAGTACGCTTGCGAAGACAGCTGTGCCGCTGTTATGTTCACAGGCACCTGTAATGTAATCACATTTGTTTCTTTAATCCTCTGAAGTTAGAGAATTAAAATGGATATACACTTTATATCTATATGAAGTCTATATCTATATTACATTTATGGGGATCATCTATTTTGATGAAAATCACACCCTTTTATCTAAACCCTAGCGAGATCTCTGAGGTCAATTTCTATATAAATTGCCTGAAGTTTTTGAGTTATAGTAAAAAAAAAATAAATAAATAAATAAATAAATAAAATAAATAAAAAATAAATAAAAAAATAAAAATAAATAAAATCCCCCCCCCAAAAAAAAAAAATAGCAGTCATTCTGATCATTTATTTTACAGAATCATCCTTTTTCTCAGGAATGTAGGAAGCACTTTTCTTTATTTTTTTTATCTTCTTTATTTTTTTCATATATAGGTCACTTTTACAAGCACAGGGATTTTTTTTTTTTTATCCACTAACTACATTCCCTAGACACATTATTGCTCTACAAAAAGAGCCATAATATGTTTATTTGGGACTACATTTGCATCTGCTACGGCAATTGAAAAAAAATACCGGTTGCTGAAGGTTTTTTTCTCTTTTCATAACCTTTATCGTATGAACAATAAAAGGGAGAAGCATAATCTTCCTAAAACACAATTGTCTACTATGTACTTGCATTCTGAAGTCTTGCGGAAATTGTCAACATGTAACAGTGTCTCAAAGGACTCCTTTTCCTAACGGTTTGATCCAGCTGATTTGATGTTTCTCGGCATAAATTGACCATTTTTGAAAATTTCTCTAAAATAAAAAAAAAGTAATACAGCTATTTGGACTTCATATCTGAATAAAACAATCTTTCAACAATTATATGCAGAAGACACTTTTCGAAGTTGACCTTTGGGGGGGGGGGGGATATTTTACGTAGACTACTTTTAGAACACCACAAAAGGGGTTATATGATATATGTCACTTTTACAAGAAACATAAAAAACTACAAAAACTCATTGCATCATTTTGTAGATCTACTATTCAGCTACAAAATAAGCCATAATTCGTTAAAATCTGACGGAAAATGCGTGTTACGCATTAAAGTGTGCAGTACCGAAATATCGTGATTTTTTCCTCTTTTTTTCATTTATCTTTTTATTTTTTTTTACATCATGGATAACCAATCATGTATGAAATACTTGCATATGATATAATCATCTATTATTTCCCTTTATTGCTGCTCTAATGGGATTTTACAATGATAATACTGGTCGAAAAAATTATCGTTTTCAAGGCCAATGAATATCACAGTCTTCCCCTTCTGACTGCCTCCATGGAAGGGGAAGACTGTGTTTTTGAGCCGAGGGTCCGATGCGTTATAACACCCAACTTTGACACCAACACTTCCATGAAATAAAGATATATAACTACAGAGCCTGTAAAAATATATATATAAGGTATATAAGGATATACAGATCATTTCTGTGTATTCCATGACCTTATGTTTATATATGTTGTTAATTCTGCTGTTTGTTATTTGTTTGTTGATTTTTTTCTTTTTCTTTTTTGTCAAGTTTGTCTGATAATTTAAAAAGTTATGAACAGATTATATTAAGATTTTTACCAAAGGCGTATTGTAACGAAACAGACGCCATGACATTTTGGTGGTGATCTGGATCGTGGTTCAGATCCAGGATTTTTTTTTTTTTTTCTAAATCAAAAAGTTATGGACAGATTTGAATATTTTTAAATCCTGAGGTGTGTCTTAGCCTAACTACATTCTATAAAATTTTGGGTGGTGATCCAGATCATTTGGCAAACCTACCCCCAATTTGGGAGGGGGAGAAGTTTGCATTTTCAAAATATTTTGCTCGTAAATCAAACTAACTAAATGTGATGTAAAAGACTCCATATGAACCGCATATCATGTTTATTCATTTCCATGAAAAAATTCATGTTATTGTTTTTTCGACGCTTGCCAGATTTTAAAAATTATTCTGAAAAAATGAAGGTTGGTCTTTTTGAAAATAATTTCATCTTTTATTATACCTAAATCATTATGTCACAATTGCTGATTTTCTAAGGTAAGGTGAAAAACATTTATATTTCAGTCAACATCGAAGAGTTGTTAACATCAAAAACAAATGGCTGGGCCTTGAAATTTTCAGGGGAGAATCGGAGGACCTGAAACTCCTTGAAAATGCAAGATGGGCGAAAAATGAAAAAAAATGACTAGACGATTCCTTTAACTTTCTTTTTCTAAAGCCACAGACAATGTCTTTCTTGCTTGCAATGGCTTTCTGATATACAAACTATGTACAATTTGCCTAATGCGCAAGAAATCTATAATAATCATAAATCTTCATAACTCTCTAATTCCAACAAAGGCATAATAACTTACAAATTCCATTTCATAACAACCTAAACCCTAAAGATGAAATTCAAGTAAAATGGTTACCAACGCACAAACATATTGCAATGTACACAAAGACCACTATCTAAGATAACACAGCTTAGTCAACAGCTGGAAACTTAACCCACTGATTGGCTCCTTTTGATTTTTTAGACATATGAAAAAACATAGTGCCCATAACTGTGAAAATATCAATATCTTGCAAGTGAACCAACCCAAGGAAAGAGTCTATGCTTGAGATCTCTTGACGTAACATGGTTGGACACCACCCTGACCAAAATGGCTTGCATATTCACAAAAGAAACAAAACAGTAACATATCACATACCATGTTAGCTGCCACAAACAAAGCTGAGCCCACAGCTGGAGTGGTCTGACTTGGTGCTGCAAAGAACTGTGAACTTTTGCTACTGCTGCTTGCCGACGTTTCGCTGCAGCCTTCCCTAATTCTGGATATCTCTGCTTGCAACTCAGAAAAGCGTTGATCATATTCCAGAAGCTTCCTGTTTAACTGTAATAACAAATTTAACATTGTGTAATAAAAATACATTTAAATAAACAATACTAACTAAAATTTATATGGTCACAAATTTTTGGGATAACTATGTGTCAGTAGCTATACTTACTAGCTACTAACTTTTTTATTATGATTTAAAACTCTCAATTACAAATAAATGGACTTAACACAGTGATGGCTGAATGCTTTTGCTGGAATTTCGACTGACTCATACATGTTTGTATGAAAGCCACAAACCAAGATTTCATCAGTACATATGCTTCATGAAAACAAGCATGCATGCCACTATGATAATGCCATTCAGCATTTTAAAAAGGGGAGACCCAGAGCATTGTATTAATTTAGAATTAGCCAAAAAACAACAATATAGAAACAGAGGCTTCAGTACTCTAAAAAAGGTGAGGTATACAAGCCTTTGCCATACTGTGGGAACTGAGTTTGAGCCTGCAATCTGCAAAGAACTGTAACACACCTCAAAAAAACTTACCTCTGTGATCTTTCCTTCTTGGAGTGATATCTTTGTGGATTGTTCAGAGACAAGACGATTCTGCTCAAGCGCTACCCGCTCTTGCTCACTGACCTTCCTGCGCATTTCATGGAGCTGTTAACAAGAAAAAATGTACATCATCAAATTTGGTCCTCCATATTCTGTAATTAAATTCTTTACTAAAATTGGTTTGTAGGTATATGCATACTTTGAATCTAAGCACAGTTCCACCAATCATTTCACAGTTCTCTCTAATACCCGCATTCTCCTCAACAGTGAAATTCTCTTCATCAGAATATGACTGCAGCTGAAGAATTTTAAAACATACCAAACCCTCAGTTACAATTCATGACAGCCTGACTCACCTTAGATTTCAGTTCACTGACTTCCTTACTGAGGCCATTCAAGGAATTTTTGTTGTACTTGTTGGCTGCAATGACGTACTGGAGTTCTGATGATGATGATGATCCTGGTTCTGACTTTGATAGGAGTATTGCTCTTGGAGAAACTGAAAAGATCATGTATGGTCTGTAAAACTTTTCTTGGTTGTAAAAGAAAGGTTTCATAACTAATAGCATATACTTCAGCCATTTATTGATGTTCTCTTCTTTTCCATATCGACAGGGGAGGTAAAAAAAAAAGGAAAATTTATGTGGATAAATAAGGATGCTTTAACAAACCCAAACACAGTGGGGTGACAGAACAACTTGTGGAGGAAACTATGCAAAAATAATTCAGATTTGGCTCCATGGGTGACAAATAAGAAAAAAGACAGAAAAAAGGAGAAATTAAGAAAAAAAAAAAAAAGAGAGACTGAGACAGTGAGAGTGTGAGTGAAAGAGAGAAAAAGAGAGATAAAGATAGACAAACACAAAAAAAAGAAGATAAAGATAGACAGACAAGTAGAAAGAAAGAAAATAGAAAGAAAGAAAAGAAAGAAAAGGAAAAGAAAGAAAGAAAGAGAGAAAGAGGTAGAACCATGTAGTGAGGGTAATCCTGAAGAAAAAGGTGAAGGGGAGAACCGCGCTGATGGGGGTGTGAGGGAGGTGGGCTTTAAGGAACGCACAATCTTCTCCTCAAAGTGTTCCATCGCCATGCTAGAGATATCTCGGAGCTCTGTTAAGATTTCTTGTGACTTTGGGAGTGTCTTATTGGACTGGATGAACCTCAGGACTCTGTAGATTTCGTCAATAACCTGACGGAGGAAGTTTTAATTTCTTAATAGTTGGTGACTGTGCTTTTCTGATGTCTATAAGTTTTGAATATACTAGAAAATTAATGTAAATCAACACCAATTCACATGATATTTATGTTTACATCTGCTTCAAATATGAGACATTTAACTATGCAGTATGCAATTTTCAAAACAAAAGCAATTTCTCAAAATCATTCAAAGCAAATATGCATTTGTTGTAAAAAGCATTACCTCAAAACACACACAGTGGAGGAGGAGAGGAAGGGACACGTAAACACACACAAAAGAGGGGGGGGGGGAGGAGATGTAGAAGCAGAAGAAGAAGAAGAAAAATAAAAAGAAGATAAAGAAGAAGATAAAGAAAAAGTGAATGGATAAGGACAAGGAAGAGGAAAAGAAAAAGAAAAAGAAGAGAAGAAACAGAAAAAGGAAGAAAAACCATACCTTTCCAGGGATAAAACAGCACATCTGGCTTTCAACATATTTATTAAATGTCATGTTGAGAAGTGACAATCTTGTCTCCACAGCAGTAAGAATGTCGCAGTGGCGGAAGAGGGGGTGGTTCTTTCGCTCTGATTCTCGCCTCGGCAGCTGGCTCTTCACCTGCAATAATAGCATAGGAAGATGAACAAATTTTCTGATCAGTTTCTCTTCCCCCTCCTTTCTTTTATCATTTTTATTCATTTATTTATCTATTTCTTATCATATTTACTATTTGGTTATAAATTTTGTGATGTGCATTTCTAATAAATCAGTAAGTAATGATGCACACTGAATGCATGATCTCAAAACTTGTTAAGAATTACTTGAACAACGAGTGTAACACAGAAATTACTTGAAAAAAAAAGACAGAAATGGACAATAAACCTTATTTTTTTCACCAAAAATCTAGTGAGAATTACACAATCCTCGGAGGAGAAAACCAAGCAGATGATTAAATTAAACTTATATATACATATTCATTATACATCCATACTTGCTCACACAAGTATAGATGTATAATGAAAAAATCACCATATATTTTGCCTTATATGATGTGTTATTTTACCTCGAAAATTCATTCTAAATAATTCCCTTCATCCTCTGCCGTGCATGTACCTCTTGGGCAAGGCCAGGGAATGCCAAAAGTTCAGCTACGATGATTTCCTTCACCTGATATCCTTTGAAATCAACAACATGAATAATGTGCTCACTGTAAGCTGCCATGAGATTTAAGAGTAAAGGGACACATTGTATAAAAAAAATTGAGCTAATAAGATTGTCTATTTTACATCCCATTATCTTTTATGGGGACTTTGTAAATAATTAACATCAGATGAAGTATATGAGCAATAATGCATACCCAAGCTGAAAGTAAGCATATATATATTTCTTGAAGAAATAGTATCTTGTAGGAATCAATAGTTTTCCACAAAAAATATTCTATCTTTTTCATAAAAAAAAGGAATAGAAAAAAAAGGGTGTATCCTATGACATGGAGCATCATAAGTGGCATGAAAGACAGCACTTACACTTTTAAGAAATAGTCTCAACATGAACCGTAGAAATTCAACAAAATACGAACTAACCTCTTTAAGGCACTTGGCTTGGTAGCGCTCCACTTTGCGAAATCCTTTATTCAGCAACATCTGGCTGATTTGGTTGAACCGTCGACAAATCTGGAAGAGAGGTGTTGTGATGAGCCATGCTGATTATTCAGACAGTGTTACACTTTGTGCAAATTTCTGATTTAGGCTAGATTGTTTTGCTGTTAATATGCAAGTTTTGATAAAGGGAAAAGGTAAATAGGAGATATGTGTTTCGAAACTCGATATTTGAGTTTATGTTACAGTAATTGTTGGAGCAGAAAAGTGGATAAGGAAGCCAAAAAGGAAAGGTTAGGAATGCCTACCAGTCTGTTGAGAGAATCAGTTACAGAAGACCAAATGGATAAGGGTACATATAAACTACATATTATTGTTTATTGTATAAAATATCAATTAACATGACATTCCAAACCTGGATAGAGTTTCCTTTGTATGACTTAAAGGTCTTTTCATCATAAATAAATCTGAAAATAAAGAACTAGTGACTGACAAGTTTCAAAAAGGTAATCTTGATAATGATGATGATTGATGATGAATGATGAACAATGATGATGATGATGATGATGATGATGATGATGATGATGATGATGATGATGATGAATGATGATGATGATGATGATGATGATGATGATGATGATAATGATGATGATGATAGTGATGATTGATGATGATGATGATAATTATTGATGATGATAATGATTATTGATGATGATAATGATTATTGATGATGATGATGGTGATTATTGATGATGATGATGATGATGATGATGATTGATGATGATTAATGATTATTATCATTGTTGATGATTGATGATGATTGATGATGATGATTGATGATTATTGATGATGACGATGGTTATTATGGATACTGATGATGATGATGATGATTATTGATATTGATGATGATGATGACTGATAATGATTGATGATGATGATGATAATTATTATTAATGATGATGATGAAAATGATGATTGATGATGATGATGATTGATTATGATGATGATGATAAAGGATGATTGATGACTGATTGATGATGATGATGATAATAAGAATAATTTGAAAGATTTAAGAATTTAAGAAGCAGGACACCAAAAGATAAGCAATAAGAATATTTTTTTCATCTTGGCAATACCCATATCATTCTGAAAGATCATTTACTAAAGAGAAGATAAATAGATAAATAAGACAAATATATTAAATCAAGGACTCTCAACCCTTCTGAAATTAAATATGAAAATGATGTATTCTCTCTAAGTCAACACTTGCAATAACAGACAATTCTTAAAATAAGAATAGAATTCCAGTGCTTCAAATTCAACCATTATACCATTATGAAAAAATATATATACATATATAAATAGTGTAGTTATTCGTCACAGCGCTATGTAAGATTGGCATAAGGTTAATCCACAATAGAAATATGTGAATTTCATTAATACAATGCAATTTTTCCAGGTCTCACCTTACAGATCAAAATCCGACCCAGAATTTAACAGAAAAAAAGAAAACTTACTAATTACATCAAAACCTGAATCCCTTCACACATAGCACTTTAATAATAATAATACTGTTCTGTAAAATGCTCAACTATTCATAGCTTCTAAAACTTCTAGAAGCTTTGGATCTGATAATGACAACAGGTTTAGATTATTTTCCATTCTTAATTAAAGTCGAATTCGTAAAGATATTTGCAAAATATTCATTTTTTTTCGAAACAACAAAAGCCAAAAACCATTAATTACCGTAAATACAATAATCCCAAAAATCTGTTATATAAGTAAACAAAAGCCATCTTTAACCATAATAAATCTTGACACCCACTAAAACACAGAAAAACCCTCACGAAAACCCTTAACACACCTCACAACCTCCTTAAAACCCCCTAATTAACCTATGAAGTCCACCTGTCCGCGGGGTTTAAAAGGACGACGTCAAACCCACTCACAATTCTGAGATGCGCCACCTCCTCGTAGCTCATATACCCCATTATCTTCTCCACCACGATCTCTGGTAGGTCCAGGAGGTTTATTCTGTCGTTTACTCTCCGCATAGTATCCACCTTGAAGGAATTACAGGCCAAAAGCTACGTAAAAAGAGGGGGGGAAGACCGTCAAGCTTCTTCCCTGAGAGATCCTTCCAAAA